GATTTTCAGTACAAATCGGCAATTTCATACTTTAACCTCTATTATTACCTAAGGTGCTGTTTCATATCATCGTTGTCTTATTTTACTTAATTTTAATAAATTTGAATTTTTCTGTTTATAGTAACATTTTTTTTTCTGTTACAGGAAACGAAAGTAAAACATATACCGTTGCAATGTGGTTGCTTCTATTTTGAACAAATAAGTAAACATCTCGAATTCGTCTACGTTCTGCTATTGTCTACTAAATGGTAGCACATTGATTGAAATTTCAATATAAAATCAGAACGTCGTTACTTGCATTGTTTCTTTTCTTCCGTGCCGGCGGCAAAAACGACAACAAAGATGGAATTTTCGGAACGTAATTTTAATGATTTAGAAACTTTAGTTTTCTATCTATTTTGTATCAATAATAGCAATAAGTAAATACTTGCGTTTAAGCTTTTATACTTACTATTAACAAGTTCAAAAATAACGTCTCTAGGTTGTGCCCGGTCAGCGTCTCGAGCTTTGATGGTCAACGCTAGGGTACCCACAGGAGCATCCTCTGACAACGCCGCGCTGAGGGAACCACTGAAGACTGGTGGAGAATTCTGCACGTCCACAACTTTCAGCTCGACAAGGGTTGTTGATTCTTGGATGCCATCCTGGAATACATCATGGTAGGTAGTTAAACAGTTCTAAGTGGAAAGTTGGGAGACTGGAGCTGAAACAACGTTCGACCTGTAATAAGTCTCTAAAACTGGATTACAAATACTGAATGGTCATCGAAGTCGATATAAGCAGAGAGATGACATAAAATGAAAATATAAAGAAGAAACAGAACGGTTCGATTTGATATCGTACGACTTCTTTACATTTTTGTTCACAACACCCGAATCGAACGTCAAACTGTCGTATTCGAAACCGAACCGAAATAACGTCACACCTTGTAACCCTAATAACGTTACGTCCAAACGGATTTCATCATATTTTAGATTTAAAACATGGAGCGAATCCTTACATGTTTATTGTTTGATCGGGCGCTTTAAAGGTTTTTGACAAGCTAGCGATAGCGAAGTGGTACTAAAGTACCACAGTTAGGGCGCATTCTGAATTCTATTTACTAGGCAAAAACATTTAAATTCTTGAAGAAATCTACCGCGCGGTAGATTTCTTCAGAACAAATAGAATTCAGATTCGTCATTAAAGTACAGGAAGGCGTGATTGGTCTCAGAAAACAGCGAGTGGAGTAGCGCGACCGAGTGACGGGGTGGGTACCAAAGTGGGTGGCTGGGGAAGGATTTTGAACGATACTAAAAAGGGCAATCTATTTCATTTCTCAGATTTTCTTTTTCACAATAAGTACTAAGTAACAGGATGAACAAGTCGTGCGCCTGGTGTAAAGCGACACGCCTGTTCATATTAGTTGTATTGCCACTCAGAGCTTTAAATCGCAAAGATCTGATGATTCTCGAGCCGTAATTCCTACATTGTCTTTGTATGCAAACTAGACATTCCAGATTAATTAACTACCCATTGAACCATAAAGGGATATGGCCTCCGACACAAAGGTGGCAACTTTTGCCACTTGTTCTTTAACGTGTCATCTCAAACCAATCGCCGCTTCCTTTTGTCAGCTTTTATTTAATATTGGAAACCATCACAATCGACAAAATAAAGACCGCAAGTTTCCGTTACAATTGGGGATGAGGATAAATAATGCGGTGAAAAACTTAACAATATTTTTTGGCGATGCCAACCGCTTCCCTTCTCCGTAATTTTATAACAGATAATTGGTATAGGTATAACACTTACATGAGCATAAATATTGAACTGATATAGTTGGGTCTTTTCATAGTCTATGTGTGTTTTTAACACAAGCGCTCCTAAAAAGTAGTTGGCAGTTGAATTGTACGTTATTACTTCGAAAATTGTGCAAGGATCTGGCAACTGAAACAAAAAGAACAGGTTGACATCCCTACTTACAAAAGTTATTAAATACACTTGTTTAAATTTTGACTCTGACTTGACCAGGCTGTCGTAGGAAGGCCATTTAGTAAAAGACCAGGAATTTATCCGCTCACGCGATACATGCAGCCGTAGACGCATACCACACCTAGAGGTGCCGGTGATGATTTTATACCGATTTATCGGATATCGAAGTTATAACAGGTAAAAGAACTAATATTAATTGCTATTTCGGTAACTACTCTAGCAAACCATAAAGTTTTTAATGCTTGGGTCTGTCATTTAAAAAAAATAAACAACTTCAAAAATACGTCACGACAATCGTGTGTGTTATTGTTTGGGCTTGAAAACATACCGTAAGTAGCGTTTTTTAAATTTACCCTGAATATAAATGTTTATAAACTATACTTTAAGAAGTAATTTCATGGTAAACGATAGAACCACTCAAACGGAATGTTATCATATTTATCCAAGTACACCAAAAATTTCATTAGTGCTTTTTAAGTGCAGGATTGGCGGTGTATTACTGCATTTTATTTGAGATGTTTTTGTTGGTACTGCGGAGCGTATTTGTTTAGCAATGCAAAATAATAATTTTTATTTATAAAAACTTGTATTTAAACTGAATCCTTTTCTATTTTGCGAAACCAAATAGCCGCCATTTTGCGGTAGGAGGAGCGCATCGCGTGAGCGGATAAATCAAACGAGTCGTATATTTTCATGTAAATACGTATTTCCTCTCAGGTGAGGGTGTAGTCCTAATATAGTCTCCAGCCTTCACACGTTTTACGCGTGTTGTGAATCTTCTTCGTGTAGGTTTCATCACGATATTTTCCTTCATCGAAAAGCTCATGATAAATTTAGCACATAAATTCCGAGAAACTCATTATGTTACAGCGGAGGTAAAATTCAAACAGTTATTCATCAAATCTATGTTGAAAGAATCAATATCATTTATCATCTTCTTTTCAATGTACCCTGTTTTTGCTTTCCTTCCATTAGCATACACTACATACATAGTAACAACAACTATATAGCTAATTACCTGATCGGTAGAAACACATCCAACTTCCAAATTATCACCAACGGTGTCCACGTCTTGCACTTCAATGTTGTTCAGAATCGTTGCACCAATTTCTTCGTCTTCCGACACTTCAGCTTCGTATGGAGTCTGAAAATTAAGTTGTGTTTATTCAAAACTCAGTATTACATCAACCTTCATTGCTGACACTGGTTTGCTTAACCACTATTACGAATCAGAGACTTTTCCACAGAAGAAATTTTATACACAGATATATGGAAGGCAAATTGGATGGGTCACGAAGAATATTTTCAGATAAATCGAATGTTCTTCAAAAGGCTGGAATGCGTAGTGAGAAGAATAAGTGGGCTCATATGAAAATATTTATGAATGTAAGTAAAGCACGAGAAGTTTGTCAAGATTAAGCTAAATAGCGAACGTTATTCATTGCCTACGCCAATGAGAATCCAAGAGTTGTGAGTACACGTATATATGCACGCTGCAGTCCATCTCCCGGTTTAATTTTTTAGTCTCATTCAGGCATGATTGTGACACACGGAGCGCGGCGCTGTCACTTGATGTGTGGTTCTCTCAAAATAGTACATTGTTGGTAACGTCATTTAAATACCTAACTTGGTTGATCATATAACCGTAAATCGTTAACATACGTTTCTAAATGTCGGTGCGTTGTCATTCTCATCGAGAACAATCACAGTGACAGGCTGCGTCAGGGTTAAATTCTCCATGCCGTTTGGATTCATCTCTTCTAATGATACTTCGAACTTTATCGTCTCTTCAGTCTGAAAAAATAAAATAAAAAGCGAATAATTAATAGAGTTGTGTTGTTGTTTTGCATAGATAGCTATTTCAAATCCGGCTCGAAGGACCAGTTTGTACTAGGCATAACAAAGTAAGACAAACAAGTACACAGCTTTAAAGCCTTATATAGGTAATATACTAACAAAAGTGCTTGTGGAATCGGCTTGATGTACAATAAGAGCGAAACAAATGTTCTGTGTTTCGCTTCCACTTGGACCGCTGACGCGAAACGTATAACTAACTTCTGTGATTAGTGAGAAGGTTCATACATTATCTCACAGATGTCGCTTACAATGCCGAAAGCTAAAAAACTCAATGTAAAGAACTGACACATGGAGGAATTTCGTCAACTTGGTAACTCAATCTGCAGCTCAGTTGGAAAAGCGATGGGGACGGAATCCCGTGGTTGCAAGTTCGGGTTCTGTCGGGTCGAAATAGTTTTTCTTTGAGTTCGATTTTGTATTCAAATAATTACTGTAATCTAATGGAGTTATTTAAAAATTATCTATAATTATCGCGGTGGTTAATGCCCGACGTCTTTTTCGCTCTTATCACAAGGACACAAAGCTTTACTGATCGGCTTATTACGATTCCATTTCGCCAAGTGCCTTCTAATGGCGATGACGTGCGGTACATATTTCGAATCGGGAAACCCAAGGAAAGGTAATGCGCAACCGACTGTTAGGTACAAGATCTTAAATCTCGTGTGATTTCTATGACTCTCCATAAATTGGTTTGCATTAGAAACAAAAAAGGCGTTGGTACTGAACCCTCCCATCATTTATTGGTTTTGTCGTATCATGTTTTGTACTACTTATTCTTGCGTTAGACAATCTGCCTCAAATGAACTTTATTAAGTCAAAAAGGTCTGAACTGGAAATTGAAACTCGACAGTTAGGTGAACCTTCGAGTCACCGTCATCAAATACCATATTGATACAGAAGTTGCTGGAACGAGACATTCTTACCTCTCTGTCTAAAGGCTTAACTAGCCGAACTTCGCCGGTTACAGGATTCACTGAAAACTTGTCAGTATATCGTATTCCATATCGGATCTGAAAAACAATTATGAGACAATAATTAATTGGACCGTTTCAAAAATTTGTTATATAATTTAAAAGAGGTCAAGTATCACATGCAGGATACCTTGCAGCATTCTTTTGCTGGATACCACGCACTTGCCAAATAAAGGCTACCTCTTTGTGACTAGTATACATGAACAGCCTCGCCATCAACATTATCATTAGATTATCATAGTCCACAGCCGATATAAGCCTCTCCAGAACCACGCCCCATATTCGGTCCTCTGTTTCTCTTAGTAAAACACTCCCGGACAACTTTACAAGATGTCGGTCCACGTTTTTCAAGGTTATTTCTGCGCCAGTGTCAGAGTACTGTAGCGTAAACAATTTAGTCTCTCGTAAACACGAAAAAGGTGATGATGGGGTGAACAATAGGTTACGTCAGCCTCAACTCCATCTTTAAGCACTATGTCAACAACTTACAGGGTGTCCCTCAGGGTCTTCGCCTAGCAGAGTGTACACTACCCCTCCGACTGGCATGTTTTCCAAGAATGGCTGGTTGTTCATATCGTCGATGAAGATGGGCAGCTTGTTTGATGATCCTGGAATAATATTTAAGATTAAAACCTTTGTCCTGAATGTTTATATGTCTGACTACAATGTGCCGAAACTACAATGACTTATTAATATCTACATGACTACAAATTGCAAGCCCGCCAACTGGCAGAGCAGTTTATCGGCGGAGAAACTCCCATGTTTAGCAACATACCTATACCTACCTTACCTATAATATGTACATGTCATACAAATATATTTTATACCATACACACCTACATAGATATATCAGAACACAACGCTGACTTATCTGAGATGTTTTATGCAGATGTTAAGAATGATGTAGGAAAAGAGAAGCTACTTAAAGACAATAGAGAATCAAAGGGGAATGATGTTTGGGTATTACGTCACGACAGTTTATTAAAAGTATTGTAGAAAAAAACCATTTGTTTCTGTGATAGTCTGTGTAAGTTCTTTGTTGTTGTAGATTCTCCTCTCTATAATTTCTGTCGAAATTCACCGGTCCAAGTTAGTAAAGTGAGTAAAAAGCGCGTGTATTCCTTAACTCGATAATTCCGATCGATGGTATCGATGGAGCTGTGACATTATAAGAAGAAGGAAGATCGAAATAAAAAGGGGTACAGAAAGACCAGAAGAAATCATCAATCTCTTTTATTAAAAGGAATGTATACTTTATTTAGTAGATATTATATTAAAGTATTATATTGCATATTATTAAGTGTGTAACACCGCGACTCGCCGCCGCTAACTGCAGCTTCGTTTTCTACCTTGTAGGGGATGAAGTTTATGTTGCATTGCTCGTTTGGTAAGCTACACGTCTGTTCATAACAGTTGCAATGCCACTCTAGAGCTTTAAATCGCAAAGATCTCGATTCTCAGGTCGACAAGTCTCATGCTGACATTACTGTTTAGCGGCAGGTTACTGGACGAACTCTTTAACAAGGAGCTCTACTGCTAGTAGTAGCAGTAGAGCTACTGCAGTGTCGCGTTGTGAAGCAAACCATATGGGTAGGCATGTTGGTGACCCCCAAGCACATGACTTGATATCATAAAAAAATTTGGCTATATTTAGAGCAATCCTTAAACAGTAGACAGCCGGAAGAACTCTCACTTTAGAGAGAGTGGCTGATATGATAGTCCCGCTGTCTAAATGAGAACATCTTTGTGCAAACAGCGTAACTTAGAAATTAACGCAATTAGTCGCTAACTGGAAAGAAATGAGAACGGTTTTTGGCGGTGTAAAATTCATTCAAGTACCTAATATTTGTAGCTCATGGAAAGCAAACGGAGTAAAATCACAAACGGTCTGTACCCTACACTAAAAGCAACAAGTGATCGTGCGTTAAAAGTTCTTTTGTCACTTGAAAGTCGTAAAAATAATTTATTTAGTTCAGTTGATATAAAAAAAATCATTGCTATCTAAAGTACCTATAGACTACAGCTGTTTTCTTGTAAAATTTAAAGGTACGTTTGTGTTTTTTTCTACCGTGTAAATACTCAATTTTTAACCGACTTCAACAAAAGGAGGAGATTCTCAATTCGACTGTGTGTTTTTTTGTATGTATGTTACGCGATAACTCTGGTATTGGTGAACCAATTTTCATGATTATTTTTTGTTGGAAAGAGGGTACCTCCATAGTGGTCCCATTTAATTTTGAAGAAAATCATCCACCTCTAAGGGTGGCTGTTTACGCATGAAGATTCATTTTTATAAATAGCGCCAAAATTTTAGTATAATGAGCAATTATTTTAATGGTTGATTTTGCTCTCAATATACTTTGAGTAGTGAGAACCGATTTTTATTATGATACGGACATGTCATGCGGAGGGAATAATGTCATGTGACAAGAAGAGCGTCAGGTATGAATGTGGAGTGTTATAAGAGGAAAAGAAGGCCAAAAAAAGATGGATGGATTGCTTGAAAGATAAGAAAGGTGTGAATATGGAAATGATGCTGATAGGGGAGAGTAGAAGAAAATCACATGCTGTGCCGACCTAGCGTGGGATAAGGACAGGAAGAAGAACTTTTATACATGAATGGTTAAATCAAGATCAATTCTTTGAAATAGAATATTAAAAGTTAATAGCAACAATACCTGTTGAGAAGCAAAGCGCTGCCCACAGGACGAGGTAGCACCATCGCGCCATTTTGCTTCTGAAACAAAAGAAACGATATTTTAAATGAGCAAGTGACATTATGACAATGACAAGTCACTAAAAGGATACAGTGCCTCTACCACGAGTTCACTGTGATAGTTGTCGCTAGCGACCACGTAAATTACTTCACATTTTTTTTGTGGCAAATTATGCAGCGCCACTAGCGGCCACAAGAAGAACACAGTCGCTAGCGAGAATTGTCACTGTAATATCATGGTATAAGCTCAGATATACAGTAGGAAGTAGTTCAAATCAGTTTATCTACCCCAAAAGGCAGAATCCTTATTTATAGATAGACATTTATTCATATTTATCAGTTACTATGTATTTAAAATATTATATGTAGAAACAATCTTGCAGATCACTGTCGTGAATTCTTGTCACCCAAGTACGCAGAAGCTGTGAACACCCGTTAATATAAAGTTTTTGTTTCACTGTACTTTTAAACCTCGTAAAAGGCAAATTTTGAATGTCATCCGGTATCTTACAGAAGCATATACATTGCCCCTTGATAGTCGATACTATCTCAACCCGAATTCCAATTTTTCCCGGACTGAATAGGTTCTATTGCGCGGATCAAGCGGCTGATACGCTGGCTTTATTTAAGAATTCTTTTAAATGAATTTGTGTCCCTTTCATTGTTATTCCTTAAATAGCACAGTAAGGGAATTTTCCAAGTAGACATAGAAATGAGACTGCAGTGACTGTTATAAATTATATTGTAAGGTCTTTCATTATAAATCCAAATAAAACAAAAACACGTCTGTTCTAGTCAAAGACGCTTTTCGTAATGGCGACCGCCTGTCAGCGTTCCGTTGGTATCGATGATGATGGTATAGATTTGTTTCTTATTTCGATCAAACTAATTCTTAATGACGCAAAGTATGTTTTCTAACAGAATAAAATAAAATATTGTCACGATACGCTAACTGTTACGGACGGCCGTACGCGCCCGGCCGGTCAGAGCTAGAGTCCAGAACAGAATGATTAATTCGAGAGCTCTGATTGGCCGAGCGGCGTAGCGACCCATTGATAGGACCGGCACGATGTGGGAGACATCGTGCCGGTATAAATATAAGCGATTATTGTCATTTTTACGCATTCACTTTTTATATTCGCTCATGAAAGCACTTGTTACAATTTCTTGTTTCGTAAGTCAGATTGACATTTTTGTTTTATATGAATATACAGTCCATTTTAAATCAAGGAGTTTTTTTATTATCGAAGGAGAATAAAGCAGGAGTTCAGTTTTGCGGGCTGAATTCAACACTAACAATAGATAGCAACCTGGAAGAACTAAACGGGTCACTACCATGGATTTTGTTTTGGGGTGCACAAAAGGAGCCTTCCGGCACGATGTGACCATTTCCTGTACGTCAAGTGCAACAATCAGCGAATACCTTACGCCGATCGGTGTATTCTTTCACCAACGAAGGGAAGACTTATAGTGTATGTCATCCAATTGATAACAAAAAAAAAATTGACAGTAACAATTGTATGATTATCGCGGTCTCCGTACCAGGCAAGCCTGTATTGTGGGGTCCCATGCAACCTATTTACACATCGCACTGCTATTGCAATAGTGTTGTAACTCGAAACATGTAAAATTCAAGATTATACCATTGTTGAACGTAAAATATGATTCTCTAGTCGTCAATAAAACCGTCGTTAAAATATTGTAAAAAGCAACTAAAAGGTATCTACTTAACTCAAAATGAGACACGCTTTATTTGAGCTAGTTCTGGACAAAATAGTCCCTATTCAAAGATATGAAATTTCTTTTTCTCTTTTATTTTTAAATACGTATATTTGGCAAGCAGGAAATAACCTATACATAAATTTACACAGATCTTTGACGGGAAGCGAGTAATTCGTTTTTCGTCAATTCTGAGAAAATACACTTTTTGAATTAATACACTATTGTATTGACAGTGCGATATAAGACCAAGCCTTCAAAATGAACAGAATGATAATTAAAATATTTACGCAGAAGCCATTATTTGCCTCTACTATGAGATTACAGTGACAGATATCGCTAGCGACTGCGTAAAATGTTTGTATACTAAATGTTGTTTCTTCTTATTGCCGCTAGGGGCGCTGTAAAATGTATGACAAACAAAATTATGAGCTAATTTACGCGGTCGCTAGCGACAACTGTCACAGTAAACTTATGGTAGAGGCTGAAGCTGAACCTTAGAACAAAGTTTTAGTGTTACCTACTACAGTTTAAAACCTCGTAAATAGTAAATTTTGTTCTCTTATAAAATTCACAGAAAATGTTTACAACTGCCGAGCAGTATGTTGCCACGTCACCTCGCCTTGGCCTCTGGCCTGATCCCTTAATTGGTAGCTAAGTAACCATTTAATGATGTTAATTAATTGCACGGTAATCTAAGGACATTGAAAGAAATTACAGCGTATCGACCTTTGTAGATATCATGAAGCAAAGTAAAGACAAAACGAAGATATATTTGACTTGCGCATATACATATGACTATACGAGTTAGCAATGCTGACCTTTTTAATGACCTTGGTGACCCGACATCTTATTGTGTCGATGCTTCTTTATTTTAGAACTATGTAGTTTCGTGAAATGTGTCGGGTATGTATGTATCCTCCTCTGAATATTGAACTAGGATATAATCAAACTAGGAAAAAATATGGCGGACATTAATTTTAGATCAAGGCAAGTAAAAGCGCGTTAAATATAACCTTCAGATCAACTTGAACCAGGATTTTTAAGATACCTTATAAGTGACTCGGAATAAGTGGACGCGAAACTACAGAGCCTTGAACACCGCCTTAAAGTTGCCTGCTTATCGGTATTTTACAGGATATATCACGAAGAGTGTGCGATTGAATTACACGATTTAATTCCGCCTTCCCTTTTCCATCGCCGGGGGACTAGGCGTAGGCTTGGGTTCCACCCCTATGTTGTGGATATTCCAAAGATTCGCACGAAGCCGTTATGCTTCCACATTTATATGGCGAACGACTATGGAGTGGAATGCCCTGTCTGCAGACTTGTTCCCTGAACGTTACAACTTGAGCCTTTTCAAGGCGAGAGTGAATAGGCATTATTTAGGTGTGTACGCTCCATCGTCGACCTCATCGTCACTTTACATCAGGTGAGATGGAGGTCAAACGCGCACTTATACTGCTCTCTACGATATCTACGAAATAGCATGGTGTAGTTCTTTTCGTAACTAGTCAATACTAAACTGAGAATATCGATGCCAAAAACACTTTCTTTCTACAAGTAAAACATAATGCGTGTGCTGCAAGACACCAGAACTAACACACTTGCATTATAGAACAGTTGCACAAGCGCAGAGTTGCAAACTAATAATTGATATGAAATTGGTCTAATAAGAGCGAGATAAAAAATCCTTACGACACAATGCTCTCACGGTATAGATTGCAGTGTAGAAAATTTTGCAAATATATGTTACAATGTTTTATAATTTCATGAAGAGAACATTATAGTTAATGAAGAACTATACATAAGGCATTAAAAGAAATCTGCTTCCCAGGTTTGCTTATCAAGTAGCCATTGAGAGCGTTTTCGTTCTAATGTCGACGACGATCGAGATGTATATACGATGTTGGAAACATATCGTCGTTTTTTTAAAAAAAATAATATATAATAATAATAATAAATTTATTTATTTAGGCATAAATCCCATTAATTTACAAAATTACATATAATTAAATTTAAAAATATAAAAATTAAAAAATTAGATTAAAATTACACTATGATTAAAAACTGTAAAATAATAATAATAATTACAAAAACGTCTAAAAACAACAATAGCATCGCGAAAAAATGACTTGCACCAATAAGTTTTTCGAGTTCTTTAGCCTCTCAGTACAAGACCATTTTCGTTTTCTCATTAAAGCGTAAAAATCGTCCACCCTGTTCAGGGCAAACATACCAGATGCGCTGCAACGCCATGACAAACCCAACATGGTACGAAATGCGTTATTATACTGCACCCGTAACATGCCGAATGACCGTTTAGTGTAGCTATACCACAGCTGACTGGTATAAAACGCCTGACAGTATGCCCGGAACAGGGTGACCTTTACCTGGTCTGAGCAGCGCGCAAAGCGCCGTGCCAGCATATTGCTTAATGAACGTGTATATATTATTTTATTTTATATATATATATTTAATGAACGTGTTTTATGAACATTTAAAAAATACACGAACTACTCACCAATTTGATTCAGATCATCCAAAACAACCTTTGACCACCCAATTGTTCGACTGATCGTTAAAAGTTTATAAAATATTTGAATTTATCGATTACTATAAGTTATTCTTTACGTACGTCAATATGTGAACAGCATTTTAAAGTTGATAATGACGACGGTTTGTTTGAAAGAACAAGGCCTATTTATGTTGTCAACTGCTTTAAAAGCGAAAAAAATGGACTTAGTTTATTTAAGGAGTCGTCAACCTTTTGTTTATTTATATCAAGTTTACAAGATCTCGTCTGTTATACTAACAATCAACGTTAAATATAGCGTCAAATAACAAAAATCTCTTTCATTCATTCATCATCAACCCATTTATAAGTCCCACCGCCGGGCGCGGGTCTCCTCTCAGGCAAGGATTAAGGTCATAATCCACCACGCTAGCCTAATACGAACCTTCATTGACATGCAGGTTTAATTACGATGTTCAACAAAAAACTAACAAAATATATATTACAAACAACATTCAAAAGAATCATACTCTTTTTAATGTTTGACAAACCTAGTCAATCAAGTTGATCAACAAACCTCTAAACTCGAGTCTAATTCTATTCTGCAACCAACAACTGTCCAAATGCAAGCTACGGCACTGACTAAGAAACTAATAAAACTGAAACAAGTTTCGTGCTGAACGTATTTATTAGATTTGTAGGTACAATAGAGTTAAACAAACGACAAATTATCAAAGCGTCCATTAAGAATAATGGGATTTCTTATACTACACATAACAGTTGTAAA